AGAGAGAGAGAGAGAGAGAGAGAGAGAGAGAGAGAGAGAGAGCGAGAGAGCCCCCCCCTTGGTGATCTCATCCTTAAAGCTTTGATTAGCTTAATTGATTTTTTTCCCAGAACCTCATTTAAAAAAAATACAGGAATTATATAATTCTGTATCTGGTAACTTCCATATACAATTAACTGTATCAAGTGGGTTTTTTCTTAATGTCGCATTTAAATAGCCATACCCAAATCTATGGTGAGACCTCAGTTACCTATTCTTGCTCTTAAATATTTGATCTAACTTAAGGCAATACTGTTTTAAGAGTTGCAGTGAGTTTTTATAGGAATGCCAAGAATTTTATTTAATATCATACCTAAACTGGTCCCCTCCCCCTTATATATGTATAAAGGCATTCATGACGGATATGTTTTAATGAGTGGTTCTCAACATGTGGGTCGCAACCCCAGGTGGCATATCAAATATTTACATAACTATTCACAACAGTAGCAAACTTACAGTTATGAAATAGCAACAAAATAATTTTATGGTTGGGTCATCACAACGTGAGGAACTGTATTAAAGGGTCACAGCATTAGGAAGATTGAGAACCACTGGTTTAGACATTACAGAAAAAGCGAGAACAAAGTGAAGAATGAATTCTTTGGGGCAGACATTTTTAGTTGTTGTTAATGAAATGGTATCTTTGAGCATTGAAATGGTGCCCGAACTACTGAGGCCTTTTCAAAGTAGCTGTAACCAGCAATAAATTTCATTAAGGTAGTGTTAGGTTTGTGAGTTACAGTATATCCCTGTGCAATTAAAATAGTCTTGAACACATACATAAAACACCAGGGACCTGTACACCTTCCTTTACTTAGAGGAACTTGTACAGAAATAATAGTGATCTTTCAAATTTGTCATGTCATTGCTCTATTTGGAGAAGAGGTTAATATACTTCGTGTTATCTCAAATTTCAATTAGGTAAAATGATTAGAATTTTTGCTAGTCTTTAAGCCAGCTGATAGTTTGATTCTATCTTGAAACTTAAAATCACATCCTAATTAATGTTTATAGTTGGCTAAATAATAAGTGGGTATTTTTAATTAATTTGAATATTGATGTAGAAAGTTGTCTTCCTGAAAAATGAGGGAAGATTGCTGAAAGTTTAAATTTGCTAAAATGAACATATTTACTGTAATTTTTAATATACTGTAAATGTATGGTTGATCTTTTTTTGGTTACAACTAAAGAACTGAAAGTTTATATCACATGCAGTTTATCTTTATCGTTGCTCTTTTTTAGATACCTCACCGTCACTTCTGATGGTGATGTTGAGGCTTTGATGGGGCTTATTAGTAGCTTCAGGAACTTGGGCACTGGTTTAAACCCTGACTGTTATTTTAGACATCCCAAGAAGGTGATTCCAAACTTTGATTTGATGACTGCTTTTGTTTAAGTCAATATTTTTCAAACTTGCAACTTAATACTAGAGAAAAGGGCTAGTTGAAGGAGTCTAGCTTATTTTCTTACCCTCAAGACTTGAAACTGTTACTGTGTTCATTAACAGTGGCTTCAGTTCTTGCCCCCTTTTACACATCATATCTCAGACATGATTTTTGGTGTGTCTGAATTACTGATTCAGAACTGTGCTTTAGGTAGGTTTGACAAACTATGGCCATCTGTTTGTACAGACTGGGAGGCAAGGCTTTTTTAAAATAACATTTTAAAATGGCTGAAAAAGAATAAAAATGATTATTTTATGACATTGAAAAATCAAAAGAATTCAAATGTCAGTGCTATGAAAAAGAGTTGGGATCCAGTTGTGCCTGTCCCCCTTTAAAAAGTTGAAAGTCCATTACAGATTATCTTGGTAAGGTTGTGGAGAGATTATTTTGTCCCGGAATTCATATTTATTGTCTGATCTTTTATTCCCTATCGCCACCCTCCAAAAAAGTTTGTACACACTCTGGTCTAGGATTATAATTCAATGATCAATGTCTAAAATACTTAGTGTGGAAAAGGATAGCGGATTGGTTGGGAGACCGAGAGAAACATTTAAATGAAGGCATTTAAATGGGGCAATGAGTGTATCGAATACTTATCCTGGGAAGTTGGTAAAGGAGAGAGAGATTGAAATGTTCTCATCATGTAGGCCTAGCTCAGTGCTCTGCCTCCCAAGTGCTGGGATTAGAGGGTGGGTGCACCCTACCATACCTTACATAAGATTTTAAGGATTTTTTTCCCTAGTACTTGAAGTGTATTTTGAACAAACACCTAACTCTTCCCCAGTTCCCCCCCCCCATTCCCTGCTTCCCAATTTCTTTTTCTTTCCCCCACCCCTAAAAATAGCCTATCAAGTCCCAATCATTCATTGGAGCATCATTGATCTAAAAGCTTAAAGAAAATTGACTGCTTCTACATCAAATACCATCAGCTGTTAATAGGTCCTTAGCTAAGGGTGGAGTCTTGTGTATAAGTGTTGACTGGCTTGATCTTTTATGCAGGTCTTGAACCTGTGATGACGATTGCTGTATTCAGTCCTGTCATGTCCAGAAGACACTGATTCTGGTCTTCCCTGACATCTGGCCCTTACTTTATTTGCTGTCTGTTCCATGATTGTTCCTGAGCATTGGTGGGAAGAGATATGATATGGATCCTTTCTTTATAGCTGAGCTCTGCACTTTGACCAGTTGTGAGTTTCTGTGTTAATTGTGTATAGTACACAAGAAAAATTCTCTGAAGTCTGAGAGCTACATTAATCTATAGGTATAGAGATACAATTTATAGGGCAGTTTGTTACCATGGCCATTTAACAAAATAATAGTATTAGGCACACTGCTAGAGAAGTTTTGGGTTTTGGGCCAGGTTTACAGTGTCAAAACATGTGTTTCTGCCTTTGAGCAGGTGGAAATCATAAACGCAGTCAGATAGCAGGGCATTTACCTCGTGGCATTCATGCCACTGTTGTACTTATGAACTTGTCATGCCAGACATCGGTTTTGTAGCTCAGAGTTGACAGCTGGGTGATGCTGTTGGGATGACTTTTCTTTCATAGTAGCCTGCAAAACACCTGCCACTGTGGAGGCTAGCTAACAGGGAGGAGCTTCTGGGTCAGTACCAGCTTGCTCCATATCCGGTGACCAGGGAATGTGGTGTCCTCAGCAAGAGTCTTAACCATCAAGTTCTGGAGGGCAAGTTCTTGGAGAGATCTCTAGGACACCTCTCTGACCAACACTGTAAGGAGTTGTATTTCATACCAGTACTGGACTTTTATTTGGCAATCTAAGTTTTTTTTTTTAAATATCTATATTATTGTGTAACCAAAAGATTGTTAAGGCATTCCTAAGAAAGGAGCTGTTTTTACTTTTTATTTTATTTTATTTATTTTGTATTTTGAGACTGGGTTTTTCTGTGTAAGTTCCAGGCTGTCCTGGAACTTGCTTTGTAGATCAGGCTGATTTTGACTCACAGAAATCTGTCTGCCTCTGCTGGGATTAAAGGTGTCCACCACCACTGTCCCATGAAAGGAATTGTTTTAATAAAACCATAGACAGTCAGTACTATCAGTCAAATCTAACACATTGTTTTTGTAATTATACTATGAATCAGTGGTCTGGTGAATGACCTTCTGTGGATGTTGACTCTGAGTTGGCTAGTTAACTTTAATGTGTACATTGTTTGTAGTTTGTTTTAGGAACTGAGTTGGATGAAAAGTTAAATTCCATTGTAAGAACTCATTGTATTTGTTGGAAACTTTCCATTAAAAAATGGAAACTACAGCTTGTGAATGGAGAATAGATTGTTCACTAGACATTGATACATGCCTCCAAATGGAGACACCAGCTGGCTTAAAGAAAACATAAATGGTTCTAGGCAAACAAATGAGATGCCTGTTGGAGAAGGCAGTGTCTCACTTCAGATGTCATTTTATTGAGTCAGAGTGTCTTTTAATATTTGTGGTTATTTAGACAGCTGCTAAATTACTTCCTAGTTTCTCAGTGGGACTGGCAAATAAATGCTTTAGTAGTGGTCTTTGTACTGTGGATTATATTGTAAACCTGATATTTAGGAGTGTG